AAGGCGCATGCGCTGATTTTTTCTCATTTTTCGTTTCGCTGCATTGAAGTCTATGGGCCACTTGACAATTATTTCGTGGGTAAAGAGCCAGGATTCGTTGTCAAATGTGGTAGAATTTTCATCTTGTATCCATGATGTTTGGCCAATATCAAAAGTATTGTCTCCATAATCGAAAATCGCAAACTTCATTCTTAACTTTCACAATTGGTCACCTTTTCACAAAAGAATAAAACAAATTCCAAAAAGGGACATCTCGTTTTCTTGATATTCAAAATAGTTTGAAACAAAAGATGGTGCACTATTTCGTCTTCATTCCAAAGACATCATCAGACTTATAGTTTACAATGCAGGCTGCAAAAATTTTATATAATATTTACAAGTGGAAATGACAGTTATGTAATTATAGAACGATAAGACTAAACAATCAGGCAGTATACTTACATTAAAATAGAGATAATTTCTTACACGTTTTGAGACCACTATTAAGTTGTGGCACATTGCGTTTGATCAAAAGTGCTTTTAAGATGAGAAGTTGATTAGGATTATTATTATTACAGCGATATAAGATTTTGGTGTTACTTGCAATAAAATTACAAGGATTAAGTAGCACGCACGGGGTCGGACTCAATGTCAGGAAGTGAGAAAAGGTGTGAGATGTTGTTGGCGTCTGGAAATTGAGTAAATGTTGCGAGAAAGCACTAGAATTATTGTAATTAGTGGCATGTTGGGTTAGTCTTATGTGTAGGTTTCGTTCAGTTTTGCCTATGTATGTATGACCACAAACTGGACGATTTGAAAATATATTTTTCTATATGTTTACAAATTCCTGTGAAATTTTCTAAAGCACTTCTTATAAGAATTTTCTTTTTCTATGCGATTTCACATTGTAATAGGAATCCTTAAAGTAATCGCATACCAACAATGACAAAGCAAACTACTTAATTCAATCGTGGCGAAATAGTTTTGAGGACATCGATGGCTACCAAACTTTGAATCAACTTATACGTTTTTGCCCTTACGCTAACCAAAAAAATCGATCAATGTTTGGTTTCGTCTTCCATATTTTTGCCCCGAAAAAGTGATTCTTAAGTTCGACAAAATGTCGCCATTCTTCATTATCGCCATTAAATTCTTCGATTTTCCCAAAAAGTCGTCATATTAAATTTAATCCGTTTTAATTTTGTCGGCCGTGTGGTCGCCTAACTGAGTTTAAAATTCCTATGGTCAAAGTAAAACGTTTTCTTCGTCTTCAATATAGTGCTTATAGAGTTTTATTAATAGCAATCTCGCAAGAGCAAATCCAACGCAACAAAACGACGTGCAACATGAGTTGTCGTTCACAAGAGATCTGGCAGATGTCGTCATACATCACATTGTGAAAAATAACTAATCACATTCATTCAATTTTTGCCTTTTTAAAGTATATATTGTTAAGTACATGTTTTAAACGAAATTAACATATATTTTGAAATACACTTGCACTATGTCCTTAAGTAATTTGATGCAGGAAGAAGATTAAAGTAAAGAATCATGTTTTAAAAGCGAGAAAATAACTGCCAACAACTTGCCAACATTTAAAAAAGTTGATATCTGTTAAAAAGTAATTCAAAATTGCATTGATGACAATTCAAATATAATGTCAATATATAATTTCGACATCACTTTAAAATTTTTGTCTTCCTCTTTCATCCTTTTAAGTTCGTGTTTCACCATTGTAAGTTCCATTTCTAATACGTCGTTGTTGTCATTTTTTTTTCTAAAACTGTAAATATATTTCCAAATCATGTAACAAAATTTTGTCTCGAGGTTTCAGCCAAACTGCAGCTGGTTCTAAAAAGATGTTGCTATTCCAAGAAGACCACTTGTTAAAGCCGTGCATCTTTCTTTATAAATCACTTATCATTTTTGCCTAGAGAAGAGACAACGCTCTACATAAGATCATTACTTATGCCAACATTGATACACGTTATCTTTTAGTTTATACAAAAGGGTTGTAAATTTAGAATGTTTTTTTCACTTTTAATGTCTCTTTAAAAAATATATCGAGTTAAGTTATCTTATATTCACAGAAAAACAAAGTTACTAAATGGTAAGATTTATATCGGAGCTTTTATCTTTTTTTTCACAAATACGTTGTACAGACGTATTTGGCGTTGATATTGGAGGCTATTAATATAGTGTTTTTACTAATCTCAAACGACAAAAATAAAATGTTTTTATTTTTTAAATCATATTACCATCGTTAGACTTGACATCCTATCACTTTAGTAGCTGAAAAACAGTAACCACTGACTTGGTAAAATAAACCTAGAGCTCAAAAAGGCTGCACGATTTATTAAGCTTTCTTTTAAATTATTTTTGTGCGTATTACCTTTTTTAAGTAACATTAATATCCTTTTTGCTGTAAAATGTTTTTTTCATAACTACCTCCACTAACATTTGCTATCTAAGTTGATATCTAAGGGAAATATAAAGACTGTTTTTTTCCCTGTTGTTTATACACCTCTACCTATTTTTACACACGTTCATCTTAGCTTCAGTTTTAATAAGTGAGAAGACTGCCCTTGTTTTCTTTTCTTCAATCATTATAAAGCGGTGTGCATTTATATTGTTCTATATTTTCAATCAAAGTGATATTTCTGAATTAAAGTTAAAGAAGATTCTCCCCAGTAGGCTTCTTATTTTCAAGAGAATTTTGCTTTCATAACAAATTCCAATTACTCGCAGTATGAAAGGGTTTGATTTGCTTATTTTTTTTGAGCTCGTCACTTATATCTTGAACTGCAAAAGCAACCAAAAGATTCATAATTATGATTGACACAAGCAGAAGAAACACAACAAATAAAACTATTTGCAGCGTTTTGAATGTATTGAACTCAGAGATATCATTTTTCACAAAAGTTTCCTCAAAATTAAAGTCACCCATCATCATTACAATGGCAGTTAAAATAGCGTGCCCAAAGTTTTTAAATCTTTCTCTGTCATTCATGATTACTGTAAATGCTGTTGCAAACTCCACGAAGAAGAATCATAGTAGGATAATTACCTGTAGAGTAGAGAAAATTTACTTAATTTTTTTTCTAAACCTGAGGTGAACAGAAACAAAGAACTTTTTATATGAACATGCATCAAGATAGTATGGTTTTAAAGACCACAAAATTTTAATTGTCATAACATTTAACTGTGAAGCTTATACAATTCAATCGAACAATTCACTCGCAGTGTTACCAAAAATTATTTCAATGTTTGAGTGATATGTAAATCTTGCTGAATGTGAATGCCATTCTCCTTATTGTATAAATTAGCACACAAAAGCATTGAAATTGGGTGATGTCAGCAAGATGAGTGGGTGAAAAGAAAGGTTGGTATGACTGCTAGTTGGATATAAATCCTGAAATCATAATTAAAGAGTCACAGCTACACAAGTATAATGTTTAGAAGTACGCTCCACAGTTGGTCTAGTCCACTGCGCATGCTCAAACGTTTCGCCGATAATATGCTATTTACTGAAGTATTTACTTTAATTGCTGTTAGTAGATCTTATTGTCATCGCAATCACTATGAGCTTGGGCAGATAGTTGAGTCGACTGCGCATGCTCTGATGATTTCGCTAATTTTTGAGTAACCCAGCTAGCTACTTCGAATTCAGTGCAAGTAGATCTAGTTCATTAGTATTAGTTGGTCATATGGACTGTTTTCATTCCAACATATTGGCACGTGTTTTGGCATCCTGTGTCAAAAATGCATTTTCAATCTCATCACTTTAAAGTGCCTACATCACCCTTTGGGAAATAATGTATTTAAATAGAGTTAACTATTTGAAGAACATTTGCAATATATTTTATATCCGGAAAATTTGATCTTTCTTGACTTTTTGTCTTCAAAGTTGGCTTTTTTCGTGTTTGCCGGTGAGTTGCTGTGACTGGGTCTAGTTTACCTTACGTGACGTACAATGGAGAACACGCTGCTTTTTAACGCTGTAATTTAATATGAATTTTAATTAACTTCATTTGTATTGTGTATTTTGTTATTGAATCACGTTGTAATTGGTAGTTAAGGTCCTCAAACGAACCAGTTCACGCATAACTTCATGTAAGCTTCGGGCTGAAAAGCTATATAAGGAAAAGTGCTACAATAGTAGCGTTCGTTCAGTTGTTGTACTTTTAAATTAAATAAATTTTTTCTACTGCCTTTTTTGACTCTTAAGGTTTCCTTACATAGATCGACACAACGTAACAGGACAAAGGACGAAATTCTTAAAATATACCTCAGTCCCTGTGTATACATCTTATTAGTTTCATGTATATTTATGCATAATAAACTTGTCAATAGAGTTGCTAAGGATTAGTAATTTGTGTCTCCTCTTAAAACAAAGTCGTTTTCGAATTTTCATGAACGAGTTGTACACTTAGCTAAAAGCACTAACTACTCGAGTTGTACGTCTCTTACGTTTTTTTTTAACTCAATTGCCTCACAAATTTTTCGTTTTCTGCCGCATTTATCGTTACCATTTCAAAATGTTGTGGCGTTGGGGCATGTACATGCATATAAATTTGTGTCTACACTAGGCGTAAGAAAGTTTTAGGAAGATTGCAGAAGAATGTTTCGCAAGTCTTGTCGGTTCGATGATGAAGTGTGTTATAAAGTAAATGGTTTGAACCCGGGAGTATCGTTACATGTTTGTAAATGTAGATCGTCCAGGTTGGTATAGTCCTGAGAAGGACTGTTTTGTTGTTGCTGACTGACGTTTCGACAACCTTAGCGGTAGTCATCTTCAGAGTCAAACCTGGACGATCTGCATTTACAAACATGAAGTGTGTGAACTTGTGACAAGTCTGGTGGGTTGGTGAGTTTATGAATTTAAGCGTATAAAAGCAGAGCAAGGAGCAATGTTTGTATGAACAAATGTTAATCAACGTTGCTTTGTCATTCCTTGGTTTGTTGGGCTGTTGTTGCTCGAAACTATATCATAATCAATTAAATAAAAAGGTGTCAAATATTTGCTTTTTATTCGTCTTAGAAATTATGCTCCGTCGTTATACGTCCAAGACAAAGCACATAAGAAAAAATGTGAGCAGGTTCTCTGGCTTTATGGTGAAGATGAACAAGTATGTTTTCTTGACCTTAATTCTACGTTCTTAAATTATACTTGTGTTATGTTTCGAAACGTTAAACTCGTTTCATCTTCTCTTTCGTCATCCACTTACCTCATCTTTCACTGATCTCATCTTTCATTTAACCGACCTTTTATCTCGTTCGTAATGATTGCTATGCACTGTTCGTTGTTTTGACGTGTGATTGCCTTTTGATTGATGCAGTTGTCTGATTAATACTATTTTCCTTAAACACGATGAATGTTTTTTTTTACTTTTTTTTCTATAGATAACTGAAGTTGGCACCATGAATATATTTCTTTTTATTGAAAATGAAAATGGCGGTAAGCTTTCTTGCTCCTGACAGTAAAACTTATAAACTTATGATAAGACGCAATAAAGTGATAAAAACTTAACACAGTAAGTTTTGTTGTTAAACAAAAATCGATCATTTCATTACTATTCAAGACTAACATACACTACCATGAATAAAGTCAAAGAAGCAGTAGAAATTGCCTTGGTGCAACATAACGTTGCTTTTTAGTGTTTTTTTTAAAGCATGTTGAGTATTAGGGCAGCAGAAGTTGAACAAGGATCATGAGTCAAAAACGTACATCTTTATTTTTATTAATTATTCTATCCCTTCTTCATATCAGAATTATAAAAAGTAAAAGTTGGGGTGAAATATCTTTTAATGAACAAGTTTTTACGGTGTTTGTATGCACAATAGAAAAATGTGACTTGGACAAGATTTGAACTCGCACCTTCGGGTACTAGTCCACCACTCTTCCTGTTGAGCTACATGCCCACAGAGATTGAAGAGGAGTAAAATGTCTTTTAAAGTTCATGTGGACGAGATACTTATGCCACAATAGTAGTTTCAGGAGATCAAATCACGTTTAAATCACATGTTTTTCATGTGCGTATAGAGTCTGTGTCAGGATTCATACTAATGTGTTGTTTCTCTGATAGTGGCCATCTTAAAGCAGTTTTGTCATTTTTTAAAATATGCAAGATGTACCATAACACCTATTTAGAAGATGAACTGATCTCTCCTCCTTTGGACGGTCTAATATTACCTGGAGTGACACGAAAGTCGATGATTGAACTGGCGCACAAGTGGGTACGACAAGGATTTAAATCTTTGAAACTTGGGCAATGTTATGCGAGAATATTTTTATCACTGTTTCCATTTTCGCATTACCCTTCTTTTCTGTTGAAGGATGAAAAAATTTATAACTAAAGGGAACGATTTTTTGCTTTACCAAAAATGTCAAATTTAAATCACGTGATAGACAACATTTTCTTGTGTTCGTGAGTTTGTAGTGAAGGAATGCAATGCAAACGTTAAATTTTAGGTGAATTTAAAGTATCGGAAAGGCTATTTACGATGAAAGAATTGAAGAAATGTCTCAAGGAGAATAGAGTAGGAAATTATTGCAAATTTTTTTCTTTTTATGGTTTTTACTGTTTTCACTTAAGTTTAAAATTGTTCTTTAAGAAATTGGTCTTAATTTCCCCACTAATGTATTTGTTTTTCATTTACATTTTCTCTCTTTAGTTCTTAACATCTTTTTATGTTTCTTGCAAATCGAGATAACTTTGCAGAGATTCTTGATAACTCTAGCAAATACTGGCCCCAATTTGAATACGCATAAGGGTCCCATCTTCTCCTGCTACGCCATGGGTCATAACATTCCTGCATTGCTGTAACTTAGTTTTTCCACTTTATGATTTGTGTATGATGACTTTTTAAAAATATTTTCTGCTCCAAGTGCTTTCCTTGAATTTAGAATGTTGCATAGAAAAATGTAAAATTTAAGTATTTAAATATGTTGATGCGTTGATTGTATGACGGAATGAAATTTTTGTTTGTTAAATTTATCCAATGGCACACTTTATTTTTAGGTGAAAGAAATATTTGGCGCTGGTACGGCTTGCGTCGTATGTCCTGTCAAAGATATACTTTATAAAGATGAGGTATAGTTACTGTTGGAACTGTTTACATACCTTCCAAAACTGAATCTGTCTTTTTCAGTTGTGAATCCTCTCAGTCGCGGCGGAATATTGATAATTATTGGGGGCTATATTCATATATTCATATGTTATAATGCGTAAACACATATGATTTCAATAGAAACTAGTAAAGTAAAACATGCATATATGATTAATACCCAAACTATCATTATTCCGCTGCCCTTAAATCCTGTATTAATAGAAATAAATTATGGCGGTTCAATTTTAAATTCAAAGTACCAACCACTCTATGGGCTGTAAGTTTTTGAAGAGAAAAATGCAACCAAGGCGCTTGCCTCTGATGTACTTGGAAATGTAACAGCGTCGTACCCAGGCGCGATGCCCACACACGCCGTATAACTTGTTTAATTTCTAAAAATTGCGCTTTCAAATCAGTCACTCGAAGTATTGAAACAGCGTCAACTTGTTGAAAGCACCAAAGCACTTTGCTACTATAGGCTGGAAATGTCCTATTTATAAAAATGTGCTGCGGTTCTTTCTTTTGATGTACCCCATATTCGCCATTGTTTTCATTAAACGACAACTAAACGTAAAAAATAAAACAACAACATCATCACAGCCATCTTGTCATAAACATTATATATTTTATTTCATAAACTGATATCTGCATTGAATCTACTTTCTCGAATATATACTACTTCTGATATTTTAATATAAATGGTAGAAGTGGTGTTAATAGTCCACAAGTAGTAAACGGCTATATTGTCTGTCCCATTCAGTGTTTATGATTCAAATTAAAACAGCAAGGCAGCAGTAGTTCAAAACTGCGCCATTTTCACTTAGTCGATTAAACATTAAACAATTTAGACGACGTGCATTCGGGCTAAACGCTACCCTCTACCTAATTTTTTTCTGATATTTTTACACATCTCTTTGACATATGTATTTCTTAGATGCTTCATATACCAACAATGGAAAATGGTCCGAAGATTGCCAGACGGTTTTACAAGGAACTTGCTGATATTCAGGTAGATGCTGCATGAGTAATGTATTCATTCAACCCATATTTCGATCCTATTTTCTATGCTGTACAATGCATACTCCATACTGTGCATTAATGAATCAAACATTTACATTTTTTTCAATCATGACTTGAAGACTAAAATGAGTTTACTGTTTCTAAGTTGTTCTTTATTTCTTTCAGCATGGAAAAGTTTCCAGTCCATGGGCATATGTTGTAAATGATTCATCTGATGAGAACGAAAATTTACAAGCTATGAGTCTAAACTAGTTGTTTTTTCTGGTTCATAGAATCCTTTTTTGTCGTATGTCATATGGACACTAAGAAGCTAAATATAACCCATTTTTAGAAAACCTCAATAATAAATATTTGTTTGACAGAAAGAATTTATGCTCGTTACCTTTATTTGCTGAAATAAATTTTTCCTAAAATAGTTATGGCTAGTTGTAGCAAAGTCGGCTCGTGTTTTATTTTCCTATACAATGCAACTATTGCTTTCTTCATGTACAAATATTTTTGTATATGAAACAGAGACTTTGTGTCGTGGTGTTAAACTTAAAGATGGATTTCAAAATAGCAAATACCATGGTGAATGGTGATAATAACAATGTAATAGTTCTTAAAAGAACTGTTTTAACCAGAACACTAACCCAACAATTTAAAGGAACCGTTATTTACAGCTACATAGAGACACTATGCATTTCGGCAGACTACTCATCAGGCGTCAACGTCTGCTAAATCGAATCGCTGAATTACATAGAAAACATCTTTTAAGCAACACTCGCTGTGCCAATGCTTATTCTGATGAAAACTTTAAAATTATTTAAAAATGTCGCTCGTTATTCCAGCTACGCGTCATGGAGTCGGTATTAATTAAATTGACTAATCCTGTCCTTTGCCGACAAAAGGATTACGTGTTTAATCTGTCTCCGTTTTAAGTGTCATCTCTAAAAGTAGGGATGACATTGACTATTTGTAGCATTATGAATATAGCATGATTTGGAGGTTCTCATTTAGCAGACGTTGACACCTGACGAGTAGTTTGCCGAAATGCATAGTGTCTCTTTCTAACTGTAAATAACGGTTCCTTTGAATTGTTGGGCTTGTATAGAACTATGTATTTGTTTTGAAGTAAATTTTACCTCACTATTACTTCCCCAAAGTTGATATAGGTCGCAGCTAAAATTATTCATAAAATTTTTTTACCTGTAACAGGTTTAACAAGCAATAGCCGAATATCTTTGTAGCAGACTAAAGTTTTCAATTAAAAAGCACCGTGCGCTAGACTTATACAAAATTAAATAAATTTGTGATAATTTCGGAGTTTCATTAGCTTTTGACGATATTTTCGCAATTAAGTTTTTTTTATGCTTTTAATAATCGATATCACTTGACTCCGCCAGTTCGTAAACAACTGGTTGTTATCAAAGTACTTAATTGCTTGTTTTAAACAAGCAATCTTACCTTAGGCTATGTCTCAGTGAATATTTTAAGTATAATTTCGAACGATTAATCACAAGTTCAGTTTAACAATCCTGCGTTTAATAAAGTTTTTAAGAGCATATTTTTTAGTTTTTTAAGTAGAACCTATCATGCTAGAATAAACGATGTATTTAACGTAAGAAAATTATAATTTTAACTTAAGTTATTCTAAGAAAGCACTTTAAGAAACAAACGCAATAAAGAAATAATGATTTTGAAGATGAATCAACGTTCAGCAAGATGATGTGTATAAAGAAATGCTTAAAAATGTTGGTAACAATTTTTTGGTGGTTTGAATTTTTTGTCAGATCGAATGCTTCTATTTTTGTCTTTAAATGGCTCAAATAAAATGAACCTAAGTGCCTTTCTAGCTTAATTTATGTATTAAAAAGTGACATACGCAGTAAGTTAGCTACTTAAAAGAAACAGATGTTGAATGAAGATATGATCTTAGCACTTTTGCCGGGATCAGCTTCATGAGACAATTGCTTAAATTGTCCAGCAAAAGCGCGAAGATCATATCTTCATTTAATTTCAACACCACACTGCATATAACATTCTTTCAGAAACAGATGTGTTAGATTTAGACATAATTTATTAAATTTACTATAACTTTGTTGTCTCATTACATATTGGCGTCATTTTAGTAATGAGAGTTATTTCACTTTAATATTTAATACAATTCGACGCCTTGTATACATAAACAACGTGTTGTTATGACAATTTATATTTACTAGTTTATGATGTCCATTGGATAAAAATGTTTTTTATTTTGCAACGTTAAATGCAAACGCAAAAATTGTTTCCTCCCTTTGATTCATTTGTTAAAATCCACCTATCAGCGAAAACTTTTTTCTGAAATATTACAACAAGGTGTAATGTTTAACGTATCCGTGAAGAAAACGTTTTAATTTGTTCAAATCATCTTTTTAATATGCCGGGTGTAAGTTGCCTTTCAATGGAATTGCTAGATTCCGATTCTAGCAGAATTATGATATCATCGAAGGTATTTGGTGCATATATCTTCTATTGACAAGTGCCATGCATGACGTCACAAAAGTAAGTCAATGAAGACTTTTCGAACGACAGGCAACGTCCATTATAAGAAGGAGTTTGCCAACTTTGAACAGCGAAAAATATGGAACAAATGAATCAACCTAAAAAAAGTTCCCCTGATAGGTTAGAAATATTTTCTAAATTGAACATCACAAATAAATTTTTTTGCCGTTCAATTCTCTGTCACATATTTGATCACTGTATAAACATTTTTCTTGATAAAGTGTTTCAACCCAAACCACCTGTTCTTAATGCACCCAAGCAAATAAAGTAATTTGGCCTTCCATTTACTGGCTTACACTCAACCCAAATCTGCACAAAAGTCAATCCCCTTGTAGTGCTCCTTTCCCACACTGTGAAATACGATTCTTCTTTCGATCCACCAAACGCCTCTCCAACCTGTTTTCGTTTAAGAACAAGGTGCCCAAAACTCTGAAATCAAATGTTGTCTATTCTTTCAAGTGCCGATGCTGCTCCGCATCGTACGTGGGTCAAACCACCAGCCACCTACACACTCAAATTTCAGAGCATCTGGGCATCACCTGTTTTTAGTGATTCACTTAGCTAAGCTGTATTTTTGACTACAATGTTTATGTGAGGCAACATGTTTTTAAAAAACTGTATAAAGGTGCTTTTGACGATTTTTTGGTGTTTTGAATATTTTCGTCAAATCATGTGTTTCAATTTTTGCTTCGATTCTTCACACAAAGGTAAGGCACGTTATGTAGAAAATACTAGCTATAAATAAGGTTTGTCGTAAAATATTGAAAATTTGCATTTAGCTAGACCCAATTCTTTTTTTATCAAAATTATGTTTGAAATATATTTGTTCATTTCTAGATCGGAGACTGTGGAGCAATATATACAAAAAAATTAATGTGAAAAATGAGATAGAATGCATTGTTTCCTGCGCTAGGGACTCATGTTGTCGATCTATAAACCACAGGAGAAAATTAAGTCAAGGACGTTGGAGTCTTTGTGAAATGCTACATAGTGTCCTCAACAAAAGCAATGAAAACGATTTAAAACATAATCGATTTTATGATTACATTTTTTTCAATTCCCCTGTCAAGGTAAAAATAAATTTTAAGTCAATAGAAGAATAATTGTGTTAGTAAAAATGTTCCTTCAGGAATACATAAGTATTATGTCAAAAAAATGCATATCTAGTTATGTAATATTTTAAAATATCTGTTATTTAAACACAAAGTGCTTGTTCTCCATCACAAATATTAATTTTTGTTGTTTAGGAGTACAATAAAACATGCGAAGTCCAATCGTGTAAGTTTAGATGGTTTTTACATACACTGTGGTTTTTTATTTTGATGTAAATATAAGAAATTTTATTTTATCCTTAGCACTCAACAAAAGTTACGATTTGCTCTTCAAAAATGCACATGTTGAAAACGTGATTCTATTGGATAATGCGATGCCCAATATGTCAGCGATAACGTTGATGTTTTGGATAAAAATTAACTCAAGTCAACGAATGGCGGTGTTTTCTTACGCTATAGAAGATAGTCCCGATGAATTTTTTGTTTTCGTTGAAAGAAATTTCCTTGTTGTCATAATGCAGTCCCAGCATATTTTGTAAGAGGAAAATGTTATAGTTTACTTTCTTTCTTAGTAACAACAACTCATTAAAATTGCACATTTAAAATTGTATGAGTTGCGTTAGCTTTAAAATAGCTTATAAAACGAAATATTTTTATTTTCAGAAGACTTAAACACAATACATTAAACTATTTGCTGTTATTGCGAATAAACATACTCATTTATTTGCATCGCTCATTAATCAAAAGTTTGTTGAAGTGCACAAAAAAATGCCATTTTGAACACAACACACACACATTTTTAAAGCAAGACATTTGCGATAGGTTGATTTGCATTAGTTTCATAGTTGGCACAAAAGTCCGTTTGAGTTTTTTATTCAATCGATATGTGTATATAATAAATACATTATTTGATTTATGTACATTGTTTGTCACGCAAGCGATCTCGCGTGACTTCCACGTTTGTATGCTTTAAAAGGTTTTATATTTTAAAAAGGTTGGCAACTCTCAACACAAAATTACCGACCGTTAACACAAACACTTTTACAAAACTGCAATTATCACATAAGTACATGTCAAAACACGTAAGACAAATACATATTATTAATAAGGAAAAGTTTTACAATATTTTTGCAGTTTTCTAACATTCAAATGTATTTCTAATCATACATTAAATGTTTTAAGGGTTTGGGGCAAATATTTAGTAAAACCTATGCTGGGGACACTTATCTAAACATTCGTTATATATTTTAAGCTTTAACACATTGCAGATAGTCTACAATTGTTTTCAGTTGTTTTCACAGAAATTACGCTAATCTGCATAGCGTTTGAGCATTCAAAAATATGGCAAATGTATAGACAGGTGGCCAAAGCATATGTTTTCCAATTACTTGCCACCAACCTTAAAACATTCGCATTTTGGTAAACTTAGAAATACAGTTGAGTATTAAAAAGTGCAAAATATTGTAAAATTATTTGTGATGAATGAAATGTATTTGTTTTTCATGTTTTACCATGTACTTATAAGATATTTACAGTTTTGTGAAAGTGTTTGTGTTATCAGTCCGTAATATCAAGTTAAGAGTTGCTAACCTAGTTAAAATATACGACGTTTAAAATCATACAATCGCGGAATTCGCGCAAGATCGTGAGCATGTCAAATATTGCATATAAATGAAATTATGTATTTACTATTTACATAAATCGATTGATTAAAAAAACTTAAACAGATTTCTGTGCCGCATATGGTAGTTTACATAAAAAACTTTCGATTTGCACTGTTTTCAAACTTAGCTATTCATGCTAAGTTGCATGTTTTCTTATTGAAATTTGGTCCAAAGTTAGTATAAAGAGGGGTGACAACAGAACACACTAAAATTGTGAAGTGAAATTTTTCGTTCATCGAAAAAATTTTACAGTTTCTTTATTTGTATTCTATTAAAATATCGTTTAAGAATTCTCAAAAACAACTTGTTTTAGATAAAGAAGTCTAGAAGTATGCAGTTACGATATAAAGCTTTTTATTTAATAAAAATCACACTAGTTGACTTAAACTTACTTCTATTCGTTATATAATAGAAAACTCAACATTTCGGCAATCAACGACGGCATCTGGCATCACCTGTCCATTATAATTGGTCGCACTCGTAAAAAAATATTTCTTAATGGAAGTACATTTATAGCGAACCTATGGTCAATCATTCATTACCTTTATTACGTGGTGGTGGTGTTGTTGCTATTGGTCAAAAACTTGAATGTGAGAATGGAGTTTTTAATCCAAATATGTCATTTGTTGGTGAAATAAGTTATTTAAACTTGTGGAATCATGACGTTGCTTGTGAGAATTCCAGTCCTATGGTGCTGATTAATGATAAATGCACTACTGGTCTAAATAGAAGTACTGTTGTAATCAGGTGGAATCATGTGTACCAATTTACAAGTGAAAATGTTGTTAAAGTGCCCTCATTACGTAAGTTAAGTAAGACGAATTGGCTTTTTTACTCCAGTAATTTTATGATCAAGATAACGTTTTTTAAACAATTCTAAGTAAAAAAACTACCAGCGCATTTTACTAAAATTCATTTTCTTTCAAAAGGTTATAAAATGAAATTTTACCTAACTTTTTTTTGCTATGAATTAAAATTTTATAATGCGTTGAGTATGATGAGGTTTTAACTTTTTTCATAACTCCTATGGATAAAAAAATAGAGGTGGTTAAATTTGCTGTTTTTAAAAAAATTGTTTTGTGACATGTGCGGGCCTTGGACACTAGTTTGAAGTACCTCGTGACGTCAGTGGTTGTGTTTCCCATGTAAACATTGATAGTGCAATACAAAATTATACAAATGAAAATATTTGTAATAGAGAAAGTTCATTTGAATTTTCGTGTGACAGTGTCAATTTTAAATAAAATTTTCTATCCCAAAGAATCGTTTTACCCCTAAATTTTTCACAATACACTATTCAAGGTTTACACTATGCAATTATATAAAAATGTGAAAGCATGAAATTTCGTTTTATAAACACTTTAAAGCTAAATATTGAAATTAAGACCACGTCGCAAATTTTGTCGAAAACTGCTTTCCATCGTTTGTTAGCAGTTTCTTTTTTCCACAATTAAATGTCTCCAAATCGCAAGGTTGTTCACTCCAAATAATATTTTAACTGTTCAATTTCTTTGCTTATTAGGACGTCAATTTGTTGCTTGCTACTATTGATAGCTGATTGCACCATTTGTCGAGCGCCCATAATTATATAAAACTCAGCACATTTAATTCAATAAGCGTTTTAATAGAAAAAATATAGAAAACAAAAGTTATAGTTCATATATTTTTCGTTCATAACAATGTTCTTTCATATACGACGTATAGTCATGCTCGTGCATCACCTGATGTAAAATATTACGTATTCTTTTAGGTCATCCCACACTTAATTGATGCATGTCTAACACTTTGTAGCACATAATTTTCAGATTTTTTATCATGCAAAGAAGCAATGAAATATGGCAGGTATGGTATGATAACAACTTAGCTAGTTACCTTACACTATAAATGAAAATGTAACTTGAAGTCTGTATTTTGTTAGAAAAGTTATGTGTACCAAGCATAGAACAGTCAAAAACTAAGTCATAAAGTAGCGAATTTTTTTTGTCAGAGTTTAAAAAATTTAAATGTGAGTAAAAACTGATTGAATAAGGTTATCTCGTTTTTTAATAATATTATTTTCTGTAATAAAAAAATGAAAATCAACAAAATCATTTTCTGTTGACTTATTCTACAGCTATTTGCTCATCGAAGAAAAAACAAAAGGTGGCTGTATATAGTTTATAAAAATTCATTTTCACATAGACCATCAGATTAAAGCTGTATGGCTAATGAAACTTATTATGCATCAAAAACACACGACTACGCCTCAATTGAAGAATAGAGATTTTTACGAAATTTTATTTGTTTTGTTTTTGTTTTACTGCTATAATTATGCAAGAATATTACTGCTTTTATTCATTTTTCCATTTCACTAATCTTTGCTTTGATGGACCTTGTACGAATTTTCTATTTGGCTGAAAACATTCCAAATGATTTCTATAGTGCGCTCCTTGCTCTTTAAAGCGTTTACCTATAAATACTTTGTTGCTTTTTTGAACCATTTTCTGGAAAAGGTTTCATAAGTCATGACTTAACGGAAATATAACATATCCTACGAAAACGGAAGTGAGGTGATTGTATCATTATTACCTCCTGCTGCACCATTATCTACTAATCTAAAAAATTTTTGCAAAAGTTTCACTCAATTATTGTATGGGCTGGAATAGTCCTGTTCGATAAATTTCAGAAAAATTAACAAAAATTTTCGAAAATTTTTATTTTCTACTATCATTTCGCAGTTTATAAACCGAGAGTAAAAAAATTTAGTAAGCATTTTGTAACTAGCTGTACAATAATGACTTGAAAGACAGTAATTATTGGTTTCCAATTTTTCATTAAAGCAAATAAATTAGTTAGCCAAAAAATCTGATAAAACATTTTAATATACTTTATATGTTTCCATTTTGTGTTATTTTGAATAAATAAATACTTTCTTAAAGCAGTTGCAGTTTTTTAAAAGAAAAAATGCTTGCGTTAAAGAAGAATGGAAATCCTCTGTTTTTAATTCTTTTTTATAAAATACATTAATGAAAACGTACAGTTCGTGATATTCTTTTATTAATGCATTATATTAAAATACTTTCCATATTTTCCTAAATAGAAAATAACTCTATATCATTATATTTACTTGAGGTTATTTTTCATTATTTAACAAAAATGTTTGGAAAAACTTGATATTTGCTAAGGCTTTTTATGATTAACTATTATATCAATAAATTATACCAATAAAATCGAGATTCTAATTGGTTTTGTTTTTTATTTCAAATATATGAAAAAGTTCAAAAGATGGTGTGTACTTGATAAAGACGGATACTTCACTTGGCTACAGCAGAGTTTTCTGTATGAAAAACATATTGGGTTGTTCTGGAGAAGGCTGGACGCTGGTGATGAAAATTGATGGGGAAAAGGTACAACAAAAATAAACTGAATTTTGCTTTTAACAATAAATAGTAATATATAACACTTTAAGACATAAAATTTTATCATATGTGCAGGTATGGCAAAATGATAAAAATCTATTCATGTTGCACTCATGAGCGTTATTTTTGATGGAAATCGCAATTTTTATCTTTAGATTAAAAACTCTTATAAGCCATAAGTTATTATTTAAGTCTGGTTAAAGTTTCCACTAAATGATAATTTTTAACAGTCATTACTTTTATCGCGTTTGTCGTTACGGCTTCTGCACGCAAATTAATAGAGACTTCATTGAAATAATAAATACAAAAATCACAATAAAATTGTAAGTTTTTGCAGGTGATGATTTTTGAGATGGTAATTACGACTGATGATACAATATCAGTTGAATAGAAACGTTTCTGCAATACCTTACGACCTAATAACTGCTTAAGAAACAATAGGTCACTGCTATTTAGTAGAGTGCAAATATGTAGCCATAATCTACGAAATTTTTATGGAAATATTAAGGCATCACCTTTTTGTGGGACAGCCTTTTAAAAGATTACAAAGCTAAATATTACCGTTAAAAAAATGTTGAAGCAATGTGGCGGAAGCTAACGAATTATGAATTGAATAATGCTAAAGAAGCACTTGTAATTAAATTAGGCGGACTCACCTCATTCACGTTATTTCATGTCCACATGTTTTCCGTCTCGGACACCAATACACTTTAAGAGACTTTATTCAAGTCTTTACTTAAGTGGGAGATTTTAAATAAGTATTGTAGAGAGGTAGTACATGATCTGGCGTTCGACAAAATAAAATGTACCTCTTAAGTTCAAAATCAAAACATATATAGAACAAAACTATTGGTCACTAGTTTTCAAAGAATGAAAATTTACTGATACAAATGCCTTTAAAATATTCTGAAATGTCTAGATGTCCAAGAAGTCGGTGCAGTGATTGATTTTGACGTACAGTAGATCTGCAACTGAGCCAGGACAATCCAAATTGCTTGTTTTGTTTTTAATACAGCTTTAAGCGCAGTCAGTTCAAATCATTATACAATTAGGTTAAAAACTGTTTTTAACGAGTGTAGGAGATTTAAAGTAACATTTGTTCATATTAGAAGAAAGTGAGTTCAAATTCAAGCAATATCTTGTGCTAGTTTATGTTTATTTTGTGTGCTTATATAAAAGGGGTTTGAGTGAAAGAGTTTTCGTGTGGAAAGGAATTCGCGCAATCATTCTACTGGGATTTCCAACTGTGTTTATATTTAAACACGTAAAAAGGGTTATTTTCTGTTTTGATGAAAGGAAATACTGTTGGCTTCAAAATAAATGTTAGGAATATTTAAATACTATGTGGATAGTCTATAACACGATTTAATTTTTAAAAATTATGTTTAGGAAACATTCGACTTTGAGTCAACGTTTTGGACAAATAAAAAAAGTTACAAGAAAGAAAATGGTAAAACAGGAATGGATAATTTGGAAACAAAACTTCCTACCTACTGGAGCACAAAACTTAACAAGATATGTGTTGGAATGAAATTCAATGGTAAAACAAATTTTATCAGCTTCAATTTTCAGGCTAAATCGTTGTACGACATCATTGCCAAAGGAAAATACCACCAAACCAATGTGAGCCGAAAAAAATGGATGTCATTGATAAAAGAGAGTGTTCTTCAACAAAACTGCAATAAAGAAGGTTTCAACGCAAAGGCAGGAAGAGAGAAATTTGCTCGTGTAAGGGTTGGTATCCTGGGAAATAATCAAAACCATTGTATGTCAAGCAACTCTTTTATTGGTTTTGGCTGTATGTATAAAAAATGCAATCAAAATGCTGAAATAAACAGCTGCGGAAACTTTAAGCGCTGCAAAGGAAATAATGACAAACAATCAATGGGATACATTTTTGTTTCCTAAGTATATTAATGCTTATGTAGACCACATTTTGTTGTTTGTGCAATCAGCTTTAGCAGTATACTTACTAAACTTACTTTCTTTATTGTTATTAGCTATACGAAAAATTCATCAACTTTTCTTTAGAGTAATTTATGGAAGACTTTTAGAAACTAAATTAGCAAGTCCATTTTTAAAGGCTGTCATTAGATTTCTCTATTGTGAGGGAAGAATAATTGTATTCTTTAAGATTTGTATAATTTAAAACAGTACCAAAAACGTATGTTAATAAATGGCACATGTAAAAATAACACAAAAATGTTGTTGTTTAAATTGGTAGCACACATGTTTTTGTAATGAAAGAACTCGCAGCAGACACATCAGAAGAAAATTGTTTTAAAAAGAAATTTTTTTTATTCCAATTTAATATAGTTTTGTTTATCTATTTCATTACAAACAAAGCAGAGAAGAATATTTTCTTTAAAAGCAACAAATCACACGCTTAAATTTCTCACGCATGTAAATATCTGGTCCATTGCAGAAACTCAAAATGGAAAATTCAGCAGCTTAGAGCTTATAATAAGAGCAATTTAGCAAATGCAACGTCTTGTCTATATCGTTGTCAAATTATCGCAAGGATTGCAGGTCTAAGATGCAAAGTGACAACACTTAGTAAAGTATATGGGATTTAGCAGAAATTTTCGTATATAACTTCGTCAAAGTATAATATAATATAAGTTATATCCAGACGTTTAGTGTCGCGACCGCACTCTACCTGCATACCACTACCCAGGCCTATCGCAGGTGATCTCGAGTCTCTGTGATACCTTGCTTACTGTGAACAATAGGAGTAGATAAAAAGAAATTAAGCGAATAGAAAAACTTGAAGACATGAAAATGAATTAGGACAAAGTTTTCTCAGAAGAACGAAGAAATCGTGAATTGTGCATTTGTTATAAAGTGACTTTCTTCATTAACAAAATATTTAATATTCATCCTTTATTGACCATGTGGTCATAACCATTTAATAACAGGAACTTAAAATCTTGAGTCGACAAACGTTTATGAAAATCCATAAAATCTAAGAGAGTTAAATTTAACTAGAAATATTTTTATATAACTTATTATGTTATTTTATTATTGTTTAACATTATGGTGGTTTATAGTAAGTAACCGTTCTCATTTTGTAACAATTTTCCTCACTACTGGTTGTTGTCGTTCTATTCTTTAATGTCTATAAGTAAAATTTAAATCTTCGTTATAATGCATGAATATTGTCACAAACATTGACATTAAGCTATAACAAATCCTCGAAGGTTACTCACACCTTTTCTTCTTGATAAATCGACTTGTTTTTGGCTGGAAAATTAACATATCTTAAATAACAATAGCTAGTATGAAAAAGCTAAAATGAACTTTGCTCTTGTGTTGTATTTTTTCCTTCTTTATTACAGAAGTTTGGTCGCAGACAACAGTTGTATGCATAAGGTTTACCTTTATTTTTAAAAATCAGTTGACATAATTTGTTTTGTAAGGTAATCGCTTAGTATGTAGCTATCAATAAACCTTTTCAAGGTTATCGCAGCCATTTTGCAGGGGGTGCAAAAACATTGGGCTGAGTGCGCGGTCACCCACAGCGTCCATATAAATTTTTAATAAATACGCAAAATTATTTCATACATATTCAAAATATTTCTCAAACTCGTCGATTTTAATGGTTAAATTACTATCTGCAATTTTTATACATGTGAGTCCAATTTTCTAGTAACCAGAGAACGGAAAGCTAAAGAAAATATTTGTTTTCTTTGAACAACTTGACCGTCGTTTGATCGATTTTCTTGAGTTCGCAACACATGCACATGTTTACAACACGCATTGCGTGGAACTATTCTACGGCAAACTCTTATCAGTATTCCCATTTATTTGTAAAGTAACAATGGTATTTTTATTATAATGTATGGTTGGTTTGGTTTCATTTTGAAGGTCTAAATTTCATTGTAGGTAGATACATTGCGCATGTCGCTTTTTCATTGTTATAAATGAAAAAGTTACATGCGCAAAGAGTAAACACCTTTACAATAACAGATGTGCTCCAGCAAAACAAAATTTATTAAATTTATGATAATTTTGTATTTCATTATCCTTTGACAGCATTTTAGAAATTAGAACTTTTTTACTAGGCTTCAATGTTTATTGCAAAAAAGCATGTTCTCGTCAAAATTCTTAACTAATGCTTCCTCAGTTAAAGCAAAACTTGCACTATAAGAAAACTATACTGATAATATGAAAATCACTTATGATGTACACAGGACAAAAAATGGTTTTAAGGCTCGTTCAAACCGGCGATCCTAATGATTGCAATCGATTTCGTCTTATCCTAAGAAATGGATCACGTGAACACGTCGAAAGTTAGCAAAAATTGTGGCAAAAAATGTTCTTTCTCGTGCTACATTGTATGCAAAAATTTTGCTGGCTTAAAAAGGTTCCCTACAGTTTTCATGAAATTAAGATGTTTTAGGTAGCCTTTACTTGCAAAATATTATTTTGATCAACACACTGAAATGGTAGAAATGCGAACTTTGCAAGAATGTTCAAGAATGCCAGTTAAGTCTATAAATGCTTGAACAGGATTATTGTTAGCATTGTTATGGCAGCCATGACTTATTTTCTGTAACACTTATATTGTTTAGTTTTAAAAGAATTGACCGTATCTTTTTCGGTCAGGTGAAGTCTTTAATTTTTAGCGTGAAAATTCTCATTCATTCAAGGAACATTATGTTCAACATTAGAGGAATCCTATAAATATTGTTTTGCATTATTTGAGAATATCAGTTACATGAAATATTATTAAACATAAGTAGTAAATTAATAATTAAACATGACGCTGAGTCACGTTTTTGGTTACTTCATCGTTGCAAGATATTTACACCATACTGCTGCTAAAATTAAAATTTTTCTGGCATTTAACGATACACATTTAGAGTATGTATTAATAAAGTCATTGAATATTGCCACATATAGCTGAATATTTCTACAAGTGAGTCAATAAAACTTTAAAACACATTAAACTTGTAGAAATTGTTGCCTTAAATATTCGAAGTAATGCCTTGACAAACAAAAAATTTGTAACATGAAACATTTAAATAATTTAGTTGGGAACTTTAAAAGTTGCAACGATAAAAATTTAATCTCATGCATTGGAATGTTAAAGAACATGAGACCACACCATTGAATGATCTGAAAACAAGTCAAAGACTTGGCCGTATTCTTGAAAAGATACATCCATATTTTAAAAATAAGGTACAAACAATGCTTCAGCTGTTCAAACAAATTTAATTACATTGAAAGGATATAAGAATATTCATGCACAGACTATGCATCATTTTCACAGAAGCTATATTTAATTTACGTTTGCAAAGTTGTCCTATATTGTTGATCTTTAAATATGTTTTCTTCTCTGTCACTGCATTTTAAGATTACTACATATATATTTACAATTGCTTTTGAAGTATACTGTGGTATTACTGAAAAATCCATGTTGCGTTTGCTGAAAAAAGGTTAGTTTGTGTAAAGTTTAATAAATTGAGTTTAAAGTCATAATTCTTAAATTTATCTTCAAATTTTAAAATTCACAGTTACTTTTTGTATATTTTAATACACCTTTCATGTACATGATTTCAGCTGAAAGCAAGAAAGATATTTTCAATCCCGTAAACATTACGACTCTCAAGAAATCCAGCAAAGTGCATCTTCACATCTAATTTATTATTATCTTAAATTTTGTTTTTAAAAATGTTTTTACTTCGCCATTAATTTTAGAGACATGTCCATTAAGAGAAAATGTTTTGTTTGAAGCATTTTTCACATCGGCAGATTCATGTGCATTGAAATGCTTACAAGAGCCGTTCTGTGTTGGTTTTAACTTCTGTGAAGACATAGCGATGAGGGACGTAACTTGTCAATTAACCCACACACGTCCACTGAAATATGAACATTGCACAGATAACAAGTGGAGTTTATATGAATTGTTAAATCCACAAAGAAAGGTACGAAGGAAAGGCATATCAATGGTTTAAATTATTTTTATATAAAGAGCTACTTATATTGATTAATTGCCCATTTTACTCTCAAAGATACCATACAACAAAGAAAAGTTGTGCGAAAATGGCGGAATAACGACTGTTGACTTGAGAGACGGACCTGGTTCTGATCCTTATAGATGTCAATGTTCTTTTGGCTTCACAGGGGAAAATTGTTTGCAAAAACTAGGTAAGTTTGTCAAGAATTTCGATGCAGTACAATTTGTTCATATATTTGCAACATTTTCCCTTCCCTAATCATTTTTCACTTTCTTTTCAAAACATGACAAGAGCATTTAACTTCATACGTTATAACTGAAATTTTATACAATTTAAACGACGCTATAATATGTACATTAGAACAGGTGATAAACTGCATAATTTGCGTGCTAGGAGACATGCTCTGATGGGGAACTTCATTCCTCCACCCTGAATACGGTAAAAAGGTTCTAAATTGTTGGGGAAATTAACTAAAAACTTCCAAAGTCTAAATGTTTGTTTGTTATTACTGTCGGACGCTAGCACTATTCTATCTACAAATGACTTTATTCCAGTTATTACACCTCTAAATCTAAAAAAGATTGGCTGTATGAACTAAATTTGTGCTCTAATGCTTCAATTGACAATAAATAGTTTTTATGTCAAAAAACTTTACATTTTGCATTTGATTTGTCAATACTAAATACTACGACTAAAGCCATAAGCCTAATTCCTTTGCTCGAAATAAATTTCCAAGTCTGTCTCTTAATCCGGAAGTTCAAGTAGTTATTTATGGAACTACAACATTGGGCAAATATTAAGACGTTTTCGAGAATGACGACTCTTTCGTATTGAAAAAGCCACCTATAGAAATCTTTTATTGATAAGTAAGCGGAGTCAACTGTAAAAAATCGTAAACAAAGTTAGTACAGAGTTGGAGAAAAGGTTTTATATTTCATTTTCAAAACATTAAACGATAAAAATTTTTTGAGGTGTTTAGATCGTCATTAAATGACACAACAATAAATCTCCTCTTTAAACCTTGCTACGTTTAAGCCCACGCTTGAAGAAAACACAACAGCGCAAAAACATTGTGTTGTATTTATCTCTTTTTGCCTCGATTACCTTTATAACTATGTAAAGATTCAGGATCATCCTATCTTTCCTTTTAATTGTTCATGCTCTCTCCAGTTCATATCGTTTATCTTCATTGAAATTTTCTTCCCTTGGCAAAATTGAATGCATGCATATTATTAGTTACCTTAGTTATGTTAAAAACTATTTTATCTCCCCTTTAATAATTTAGTTTTTTTGTTTGTTTAATTTTCATGACAAATGCTTTGTATATTTCATCTTTGGTAGATATTTTATTTTCGATCGGTCTTTGTCTCTGTTTGATTGTTCGTTCCTCCGTTTGACAGCCGTTTTTGGTTATTTTCACCTTGTTCCATGTTGTCTTCGTGCATTCTTTTCTCTTTTCTGCTTTAATTTCGCTTTGCATCTCGCTCACCAAAGACGCTTCCAATTTGTATTCAATTTCCTTTTCTACTTCATAGTTAAAGCGATTACACATCCACTCTTATGGACTGTGATCATTGTGTGTTACTTTGCATGCACAAAGAAAATGGAATTTGATTAAGTTGAAAATAATGATCAGTGACCTTAATCAAATTCCACCACATTTTACTGATGCTTATCTAACGCATCTTAACATTTTCAGGATTTTCATCATGCAAAGAAGCATTAAAAGATAACAGGTTTACTATGCCTAAAACGTAGCTAATTTTACATAATACTTTAATTTTACACAATTTGCTGTGCATGAGAAATACATGACTTTGTCTCAAATGAAGACTACAAATTTTGCCTTCAGTTTCACTAAATTAATTCAAAAAAGTAATAGCCATGCTATATAAGATTTAAAACAAAATTAAAAAAACTTTCCAAAATTGTTATTTTTTCTATCCTTATTAAGCTCATTTCCACGCGCACGCTTATTTCGTTACGTTTGGTAAACATACGAGAAAAAAATATTTAAGCTTTGTGTAACTAGCTTTCGAAGAATGACTCGACAGACAATGATTTTAATAGTTTTTATTTTTTCATTAGAGCAAATAATTTAATTAACTAAAATACATAATGAATTATTGCAATAGTCTATCTGTTGCGGATTTAGGAAATGTCATAACATTCACGCGACTTGGGCCGGTTTCACGAAATTTGGATAGCGTTATCCACTGGACAGCAAAATTTTGAAATTTATAAAAACAGTGTTTATATTTTTCATACGACAAAGAAATTTCGTAACGTTTGAAACAATATTAATTTCAGTGGTTGCTCAGTTCAAATCTTTTATTTTTTGCTTGTTAAAAGGTGTTATAAATGTTTAAAAAAATTGCTATCCAATTGATAACGCTATCCATGCTTCGTGCAATTTGCCCTTGATTTTTATGGTTCAAAAATTACTCATTCAATTTAATGATTACAATGCTACTTCGTCATCGGACTACGTTACTAGTGAGTCAATGTAATGTTCAGTTGCCCACGTTAGTTCGTTAGTGTCGGTCGTAAAATTTTATTAATGGTAAAGCATTCTGATATGGATGAAACTCTACAGTCTCATGTCGAAGAAACGGTCTTTTTAGATGATAACGAAGGAGATAAAATCAACGAGAAGGAGATACCAAAATTTTTTCAAAACTTAACCTTTGTTTTCAACCTTCGTTGATCGTGGAAGAATCCCCGAAATCAATGGAGAAATCAGTAAGCCACGCTCACGTAGAAAACATGAAAACAGAAGAGCTGATGAAGAAACGAAGGAAAATCTCAAAAGAAACTGAAGTTTAGGAATAATGCGATGATAATCATGAAGAAGCTTTGTTGCAAACGACAGGCAACTTGTCCGACACGGTCGAACAGGGTGAAATCATCGTTAATACTGTTCAAGAAGACCCCTACGACACTTTGCTATCTCAAATCTCGAAAGATTCCTATCAAGATTAGGACATGCATAGCACCGAACGTAAATCAACAACTTGCTGACGTTTTAAACAACTGTTGGTTATCGAAGCTAACTGACCAAAAAATAGAAGAAATATGAAAAAATGCGCACGACAGCAAATTCTAAGAAACTGAATGTCTCGCGTGTAAACACGGAAAAATGGGATATATATTTAAGAGAGAAAATAAATCTGATATTGACATTTCAGTGACTCTCAAAACTGATGCTTTTACCATATTGAGGCACACTTTGCGTGAACTATCATTGTGGAGAGAAGAGGCTATAAAAGCCAACTACACAAAGATTGTAATAGTTTGTGTCGCCTGGCAAGTCAAAGTCACTTCGTTGTTTTTTGATGAAAACTTTTAGTAACGATCAAACGAAATCTGAGGGTGTAAGAAAATCAGCAAAACAGCTGTACCCTAAGATATGCTCAAGGAAAAACGCGAGGTTGCTTTTCACAGAACAGCAATCGGAGCTCGGAAAAAAGAGTCAGTCGAGGACATCATTTTTTGTCCAAAGGCCACCACCGAAAGAATTATCCTCTGAAACCGTTTGCTCGTTCAAAACCTGACTCGCAGAAGCGAACAAATCAGTGGCAGTAAATAACAAAGCAACTTTCAAAGCTTTTTAGGTATGCAATCTAATTAGTTCTTTACCGGATGTTGTAAACTTCCTAGCGTTAAAAACACAGTCAGTCATAACGGATCAATTTTCATTTAGCTTGTGTCAATGGCACGAATAACTTCTACACGGAGGCTCTTCGCACAATTGCTAGTGAGAAAATAAAGATTATCTCGTCACCGCTGCAAACCTGCAGAAAAACAACTCAGTTCTCTGCATAGGAAAATACAGCTTTTGCACAACAGATAGAAAAATTATTGTTAATTCTGTTTTAGAGTATGAGGATTTCTTTGCACCGATATTTTTATTAAAAGGAAGGATCATACAGGCTCATAATAAATTTAAAAAAACAAAACAAAATGTGCTGCATAGACATTTTACGATAAACTCTACCTGCACTGCTACTAGCTTGACGAAGCAGAGGTGCTTCATGGCATTAGTTGAGTTAAAGGGTGTATTAATCCTTCAGTTCGTGTATCAACACAATTTTAAAGTATCTAAAATTTCTAGGAATTATATTGCTTATCAATTTACCTCCCTCCTAATAGGTTGGCACCTTTCCCGCAAAATTCATGAAAATAATGAAACTGGTATTTTCTTCTTTAAGACAGTTTCATCCCCCTACATTGATCACTCGTTCTTGATAAATCCTAGGTTATCAGGAATGTGCTTTAAATTTTATTGAAATTTGCCGTTGTTATGTACGGCTCACTGCATTTCCGCATTACAGAGCACAAAAATAAGAGGCTCTTAACAAAATGCCCGATTTTTATTCTTTTAAGCATTTAACTTCATCTATCAGGAAAAAACTTCAATGATAGGTCGATTATGAAGAAACTGACGTATAAAAAATTTGGTCGCAAATAGCCAGAAATTACCAGATGACTAATAATTCCACAAAAGGGTGGGATGTGCCATAAATAATTAGGCAAATGGAGTACCATAGAAAAGAGAACACATGACGAAGCAGCTTATTTTGCAAGAAAACCTGACTCTAGTTTAAGGCAAACATGCAAAAGTCCTTGTCAATAATACTACTGTCCAAGTTATCATAAATAAAATGTGCAGCAGTAACTCCCACAAATAAATACATTAGTAAAAGATCCTTTAGAAGAGTGTTACCGTTGGATTATCTTTGCCTGCATACCGGGAAAGGAAAGCAATGAAGAAGTTTTAGAATCTCGGAAATCTAGTTAGCGTAACACTGAATGCTGCCTTAACAAGGAAATTTTTCAAAATGCATGTGCAACAATTATGGAAGCAGCATGAAGACCAGGAACCAGAAAACAGTACGAGGTAGTCCTATCAAAATTAAAATTGTACTGTAGTTAAATGGAAGTTAAGTCAATTTCACCCCTGTTGTAGAATGTAAAAAATTTCTTGCGTAACTGTTTAAGGTAAATATGGGGTATAGTAATTTAAGCAGAGCACGAAGTTCAAAATAAGCATTTTCTTCCCTGGAAAACAGCTTATCATTCCGAATCCCCAGTGTACGATATTTCATGAAGAGTGTTTTGAAGCTATACTAAGCCTACTAAAACACAAACATATTTAGGATGTACGTACTGTCCTTAAATTTTTGCAAACTCTGACTATTGTGGAGCACCTCAAATAAAAACTTAGCATTTAAGCTTACTATGCTTCTGTCTTACTTGTTCTTACTTGCGTCTCTGCACAAAGATGTCAAATCTGGAAAGCACTGTCTATTGATATGATAGGTGCATATTTATTTCAAAATATATAATCTCACAAAACACTTATAAAATCTCTCACACCTGAATTATAAAATGGATCCTGTTAACACGATGAACAGTTAAATGGTCTGATTATACGAGACATCAGAAGTCAATTAAGCAAGTTTGACCCTGTCAATATGGTAACATGGTTTTACTGACTTTAATCTACAAAACACTGAATACGTGTTATCAAGAAAATAGACATGCTGACAAGGAATGCTAATGCTGAGGATCATCATTTGCACTTTGGAGTAATGCATTGATGATTCGCACAATAAGCAAGTGTTGTTCTGAATGGATGAAAAGATCTACACATTGGTACAGATCGTAGAATAATTCCCTGAATTAACGACTTTATGGGCAAGTGTACCTTGACACACTTTCAATAAATTAGGAAATGTAGCTAAAATAATGACAAATTGTTATTTAAATGATTTATGTAATGAGTTACAACAAGGATGGGCTGTCAATATTACGTACGCTCAGAAAATTTCAACATGTTTTCCCACCTATGAATTATCTTACGTTTTCACAGCAAGAACAATGATTTCAATGATGCACATATAGGTGATTAACTCATGATTCTCATGTATATTCATAGAACAAACTTCATAATTGCATTAAGTTCTAATCAATTTTTTGTAATCACCTGAGAGAAATGATTTGTTTTCCCACTGTCTTTTTCTATTTATGTTTTATAACCCACAATTGAAGAATTTAACATATCTGGAATTATGACCTGACACTGATCTTAACAGTGTTTGACAAATTGTTTCATTCTCTTAACTCATAGAATTAGCAATGGCTCAAATTGCAGATTATTCTTCGCCGATAATTTTAAAAGATGATATTAAACAATTGATTGTAAATGGTTGTTTAGATTGTCAATATGGTTTTTATATTTGACAGGCTTATATAAATGTCACCCGAATGTTGACAGCTTTCATGTATTTTAACATATCTGGAATTATATTAACTGACCGACTGAAAGCAAAACATGTTTGACAAATTAATAGGAACAACGTTAAAGCCTTACATTGAATTATGAGATCAGTGGAAAATATAGGAAACCGGAATAATGTTGACCGAATGAAGTGCAGTGTTTAGGGTCCAAACTAAGAGAGTTACAGAAAGATATTGTTTAATTAGTTCGTTTAATTTTTGTCTTAAACCTGGTTCAAGCACAATACTTTCTAGGTTTACGCCCTTCGTTTGTTGACAGCTTTTGCCTGTATGATTTTGCTGTTTGCCTGAGCAAAAAGTCAAAATGCTACCTGTTAATAGGATTTCAAAGACTTCAGATTTGTTGAACAAAGTTACTCAAATTGAAATATAGGAAACTTTTGAAAGTATACTGATATGAAAACCCCGGAGGTTTAGGGTCCAAACTTTGCAACCTTACAAAAGAGTGAAATTTGGGCTATCCATAGTCTTTTTAGAGCTAAACTCATTCTTGAAGCAAGAATACTTTTTCAGGTTTTAAAATTTCATTTTTGTTTGTTTTTGATGCTGATTGTTTCAGCATCGCTATTTCAAATAAGCCTGAAATGTAAGGAATTCATATATTTTTATACATTTTTTGAAAAATTGTCGTCGAACAAAGTTCACACAAGAACACTAACAACAAAATATGATTGCTCTGCCAATTTTACTGATTAGTTTCATGGCATTTATATATGGTTTAAATCTGATCTTTTTACATCAATAAACTTTGCCAATATCTCATTTCTTAATTAATTAGCTAACTTAACTTTACATAGAAGCATAAATGGGGTCACAGCTAATGGAATATGCCTATCTTGTAATTTTACAGACTATATCTGTTTTTGATAGCTGTTCTTAATTAATTCTATGATTATAAGTTAGTAATAAGCCTTAACATAAAATAACATTCAAATTTCTCAAAGCAATTGCATTATTTAGATATTTCTCTTACTTATCTAAAACTTACAATTCATGATATTTTAGTTATATGAAACCATCTAAATGTTTTTATACCTTCTCAAATAGACAAAAGCTAACTCTCCATCATTATAGTCGCTCAGGATTTTTTATTCTTAAACAAAAATAGTTGAAAAAACTTGATGTTTATAATTTTCTTGTCATAAAATATTATATTAATAACGTCTAGCAGCAAAATTTAGATCCAAAATTCGTTTTGTTTTTTATTTTAAATATATGCAAAAGTTCAAAAGATGGTGTATACTTGATAAAAACAAATACTTCACTTGGCTACAGCAATGTTTTCTGTATGAAAACATATCAGTGTTCTGAGAAAGCTGGACGCTAGTAATGAAAATTGATGGGGAAAGGTACAACAAAATTAAATTTAATTTT